GAGCAGCCGTAGCCGAGGCTGCCGCGGCGCCTCCACAAAGTAGTAGCGGCCGCTCTCGGGGTCCACCAGGACCTTCCCCGTGTTCGCGGCCCCGGGTGGCCTGCGTGCCCCATGGGAGGGGCCTTCCAGGGACCGGTCCATCGGAGGCGCCGATGCTGCGCGGGGCTGGGGCGGGGCCATTCTGCCTGCCAATGCCTGGGGCTCCCGCGGGTGGGGCGACTGGACCGCAGTGGCAGGCTCGGGGACAGAAGGGGGAGTCTCCAATTTGGGTGCTCTCCCGGGGCTCGAGCTAGGATGCGCCTGAGGGGAGCTGGGGCGAGATGGGCCGGCTGGGTGGGCCCCTGCTGGCCCTACGGACGACCGCTGGGGTAAGGAGAGAGCTCCACCTAACGGGCTGATCGGACCCTCGCCGTCGGAGACAAGGCGCTGGGCCTCCATAACTCGGTTCTCTCCTCCAGGACCGCGCACCAGGACTCCCCGGGTTTCCGTCAGTCCGTGGCCCAAGGCCAAGGCACCAGGCAGGCGGATCTCAGTGCGCGCAAAGGGTTTTGCCGTGCTGTTCTCTGCCCTCCGCCGCAGGACCCCGTTGGGCTGCGAAGCGTCCCGGGGGTTTGTGTTGGCGGGTGGCTCTGGAGGCTCGTAGGGGTGCGACACGACAGGCAGAAAGTCCTTGAGATAAACGGAAGTGTAGTGAGCCTGGGCGGGGGTCCCCAGCGCCTGGAGCTCTTGCGTCTTGGATGCACCACCCTTTTCGGGGCGGGGATCCGCATGATCCGCAGGAGGCGCAGGCAGCCCTGAGCCGGGGGTTCCCGCTGGGAAGCTCGGCGCGTACGTGGTCTTCACCATCTTGCGCATGTCACGGGGCCGCGGAATAGCCACGCGCGGGCGTCCGGAGGCAGCTGGTCCAGGGCCCAAGGCTTCCGGGGGCGCATCCGAATCCATGGTGCCCATGAGGCGACTGAGGGGCAGCGCGGGTGCAGCCACCTCTGGCCACCGTTGACTGTCTCGGAAGGCAAGATCCGGCACGTCCGGTGCGGAGGGACTCTGCGCCTCTGTTAGCTCTGGAGTCCCGGGTGCGGGTGGTGTAGGCGGCGCCGGCTCCCCCTGGACTGCGCCATTCAGAGCTTCCTGTGGAGAGACTATCGAGGAACCCTGCATTTGGGGACCCCATCTCTCTTGGGGCGATGGACTCCACGGCCCAGTAGGACGATCTGGAGCTTCCCATGAGGACACGGCCGGCGGGGACGGGCTCCTATTCCCCTCGATGGTAGCTCCGATTGTGGGGTGCTGAACCTCCCACGGCGAAGGAGCTTCAGGGGATGGGCTTCTTGCCTTGGCAGCACCCGGGTTCCACTGGGAAAGGGTCGCTGGGGAAGGGCTCCTCCTGCTGACGGTTTCCTCGACGGTGGGATCCTGATTTTCCCACGCGGAGGATTCCTTCGGGGAGGAGGGACTACTCACCCTCGGAGCAGCCGGACTCCGCGGGGACAGGTTCCGGGGGGGTGGGCCGAGAGAAGTCTGCAGGGTTCCATTGGGAGCCGGCCTCGGCGGGGATGGGCTCCTTGGCCTCACAGCCTTACTCGGGACTTCCCAAGGCTCCCTGGACTCGAAAGGCCTCAGAACGGTTCGATCCGGAGCGTCTCCTGGGAACCTAGCTTTGAGTTCCTGGTTGTGCGCTTCTTGGGTCTTCTCCCCTGACTGCAGGAAGATGCTTGAACTAACCGGACCCAGTGGCTCAGTCCCGGGCGCAGGCTTGTCGCGACGAATCGCGCGTTCGCGGAGGCTGGGCCAGGGCCGTGGGGCCCGGGCAGGGGCTGAACTATAGTGCACGCGGGGCGGGCGAGACCTGCCGTCCTCCTGGACCCCTCGGGTACTGCGAACCGGTGTCCGGGTCTCAGGCT